TTGTCCAAAACCCACTTCCTTTTGGCAAGGTCTGCTTCTCTCCCAGCTGTCTGCACGTCCTTTCGGTGTGAAATGAGGAAACGGGCTCTGTCCTTCGGAGAAGCGAGAGGGCCAGGTTTTAGCCGGAAGGAACCCGACGGGTCAGGCCAGCCCGAAATCGGATGTGAAACAGGAAGCGTTGGGGAAAGAGGAGCCCAGAAGCACCGCCAGGCTCTCCCTGGTAGCCTCCCTTCAAGGAAGGTCTAGATGTCCAGCATATGGGGGTTGCCCTTACATCTTTCTCAGGCCCAGACTGTGGAATGGGGGAATGCCCCAGAGCCTTGGTAATGGGAACCACAAAATTTGGGGTTTGCTTTCCTGGTTCCTCCCAGAAGGACTCTGGACTGGCTGATTTAATGCAGAGATTGAGAGAGGATCGTAAGAATCAAGAGAAGGGCAGACTTTGGGAGAGTCTTCCCTTTCACCCAATAAGGATCAAGTTTCTAGTTCCCATTGTCAGAAGGATATCTTTGGTGCCACTCTCCCTCCCTCCCCCCTTTTAAAAATCCCTTCTCTGGCACCGCCGTCTGGGCAACCTTGACGCACAAGGATCCCCGAGTCATTCAGGGCTGGGGACGATGTGTTCCTAGCTACACACAAGATGCCGCGTTGCTCTCCGTGGGGACCCGGAAGTCCTCCCTTCCGGCAGCCCTTGTGTTACAAAACACACCACCCGGCAGGTTGGGCCTGCTGGTTTGACAGAAAGGCTCCTCCAGGCTGGCTTGCACGGTTTGGGCATGGCGGATGTTTTGGCTCGCTTTCGAAAGCACGGAGTTGAGTTTGTTCTCCTTTCAGTCTTGCACAATCACAGCTGGTGTGCGTATAAGGTTGCGATGCCTGGATTTAGCAGCATGGAGGAGTAGTTTAGGGTCTCCCTCCTCTTCCATCCCCCCCCCCCATTTTAAACCTCTGCTGAATGAGAGTATACTGAGAGTATTTGCACCAAGACAAATTCCTTGTGTGTTCAACCACACTTAGCCAATAAAGAATTCTATTATCTGTTCTATCATGCACCGTCATGAGGACTAGGATCTTGACGCTGAGGGGTTTGGGTGAAGGGGGTACAAGAAGCAAGCTGTTCCATTTGGATGCTCTTCGCTTTGAAGAGGATGGGATTGGAAGGAAGCTGAGCATTTTAAAAAAAATAATAGTTTTTTTTTAAAACAATCTATGGTCTCAGCGATCCGAATGCCTCTTTCTTTCCACTTGGGTTTTGCTCTGCAGATGATCACAGTGTCCTTGGAGATCTCCTGGATTCAGGAAGGAATCCACCTCTTCTGGTGGATCTGTGGGAGCAAGCTTTGAGCCGTCCCATACAAGATCCTTGGTATGGCATCTTTTCCCCTTAACAATCCCCTATCTTGGGGGAAGTTGCCCGGTTCTGAACTGGAAAAGAAAAATATTTGGCAACCGTCAAAAATAAGATTTCGAGTCCTCGATGGGTTGAGAAGCATCAGTGTTGGAAATGACGACATGGCTTCCTCTCTGGTGCCTCGCGAGCTGCATTCCATGAATCTGTTTAGGGCTTAGCTAAATCAGGTTCAGCCGCCCTGATCCTGGCTAGCAGACTCCCTCCAACCCCCAGCCTGTCTGGGAGAGCTCATTCCTAGCATTTTTCTCTGCTGGGTGGTTAGCAAGGAGACTAAAAAAAGCCCCATTGTTCTCTGGGTGAATCGCACACGTTATGCTCAACGTGGGTTAGTCAGACCTCAGTCATCTCCTTGGAGGAGCTCGTGGGCGGAAGATGACGGGATGGGAGAGACGATTGCTCTGCATTTCTTAATCCTTGTACCTACAGACCTCCCCCCCCCCCACCAGGCAGACCACCTAAGCCAGTTTTGGTTTCAGCAAACAAAATCTTGTCCGCCCCCCTTTCCTTTTGAGTTTTGAGGGGGGGGGGGTAACTCACATTCCTGGCATAGCAACCCTGAACCTTAGCTAGGTGGGGCCTCCTTTGCAAGATACTGTGGCAATATTTTACCTTTGGCAAATTGCTTCGGGCCCCAAGCTGAAATTCTTGCTTTTTTTCCTGCCTATCAAGAAGGTTAGAAGCTCAACTAGGATGATTAAAGGCCCGGAGACTAAAACATAGGAAGAACGGTTGCAGGAAATGGGTCCGGCCAGTCTAGAGAAAAGAAGGACCAGGAGGGACATGATAGCAGGATTGCATTTTTTTGGGGGGTGGGGGGGGGGGCTGCCACAAAAAAGAGGAGGTCAAATTATTCCCCAAAGCACCAGAAGGCAGGACAAGAAGCAACTGATGGAAAGTGACCAAGGAGAGAAGCAACCTGGAATTAAGGAGAAACTTCCTAAAAGTGAGAATAATTAACCAGCGGAACAGCTTGCCACCAGAAGTTGTGGGGGCTCCATCAAGGGAGGCTTTTAAAGAAGAGGTTGGAGTAGAAGACCCCTTCCGTTTCTATTCTGATTGAAAGAAGTTACCAAGCTGAGTTTTGTAAACTTGGTCTCCGCCCACTGGAAAAAAAGTCCAGTATTGACGGTTGTTCTTTGTCCCTTCCCAGTTGGTCCAAAGCAAAGCGAATTGTTTGAATTTCTCCTGTTTTGAATTGGTTTCCAAGGTGGAGCCTTTGCACAATGCCCTGAGATACAAGCCGGCCTTGGCTTGAGGGCAGCTAAGGCAACAAAAGGGGATTTTTATTATGTTTTATAACGACAGATCTCTGATTCGGAGAAACAGAAACAAGATAACAATGAGGAAAATACTTTCCCTTCGGTGTCCTTGCGCTTTGCAGCTGGAAAGTACAAGTTTTGGGGATGAGCTGAGCTACAGCCACCAGGAAACGCCAGCACTGATTTATCCCTTTAGCAAGATAGACTGCTTAGGAAGCCGGAAGCTCTACGACTTGTTGTAGGATTTCTCCTCTTCCAGCCCCTTTCACAATCGCTCTACACAATCAAGTTATGCTGTTTGGGCAGTTGCCATCGGTCTTCCGAAGCCCCAAAAAGTGGCAGGAATAATTTCCAACTCATGAATTCTCCCCCAGAAAGGTGCACCCATTGGGTGGGGGGAGAGGGGGAGGCAACATCCCAGCTGTTCCCGCTCAGCTGGGTTCTTCAAATCTCCCTTTTCCTACAAAATATCCAAAGACTGGGCAGGTTCAAAGTGAGGTAGCCCCTGGCTTTGTGTCCTGCAAACTTCAGATCAAGGGTGGGCATCTCTAGGCTCTGAATGACCGGCGGACCCCCAACTCCCAGAAGCCCACGGCCTGCGTAAGGGGGCCAGAGTTGCCCACTCTTGGTTTAGACGGGCAAAATCTGATTTTGGTCAGCGACCCAGCTCAACCCGTGTCCTTCTGAGCTTGCTGGTTTCCAGAAGCGTCTTTTCTGCATGTTGGGACTTGCCTGCCCCCCCCCCTCCAACTCTGGGTTCAGGTATCAGCCAAGCAGGAATCCAACTCCAGAGGCTTGTTTACCTTCCATCTGGCAGGACAACCAGCCCTGACTCAGGAGCCTGGAATGCGTCTGTCCAGCACATAATGTCCCAACCAGCCCTGGAAGCCGCAGCAGCCTGGCTGGATCCGGATGACTTCAGCAGCCCCCTTTGTTCCCTTCTGTAATTCCCAGCAGCGGGAATAAAACAGACCAGGCATTTTTATTTCCCCATGCCTGGCTGAAGTCATGAGAGGCTGGGTTGGATCCCTTCCCAGTTTTTCTTTTCTAATTCATTGAGGATCAGAACCGAGGAAGCTTCCAGATGAGAAGTGAAACGTGTTCAAAGGGGGGGGAAAACTCCCAAGAAAGTCTGCTTTTGGAAAAAGCATCGTCTCCCTATAGATATTGACGACCAAGGAGTCTTGTTCCACTTTGACTGTCTCCTGTTCCCTGGGCATGTGCGGAGTTCCTTGGGGACGGGACTGGCTCCCCAGGAACACCTCAGGCCATGGTACAGACCAAAAGGGCTGAGCCGCCTCAATCGAGAGAATTCAGTTTTGTTGAATTTTGCTGATTTTTTTCTGGACTGCCACTGGTGGAAATCCCACGTCTCTTCTAGCCCCTGTCTGAGTTGTGTCAAAACGCAACACGACCCCATTGTTCATTTGTCGCTCCCTCCCGTTGTTGTCCCCGTCTGAATTAGGAAGGGCTGGATGGACAATCTGCTGGTCATCACCATCCAAAGCAAACGTTCAGAACGCTCCTGTTGGTGTCTCAGCGACTCCCAGTGGTCAAAAGGAGGCAGTGCCTTTGCGACCGACACAACAACACAACTCAAGTCTCTTGAGTCGTCTTGACTTTGTGGACTAGTCTGTGTAGTTTTCTTGGCAAGGGCACAGGAGGTCTTTCATTTTGACTCCCTGGCTTTCCTTGTGGTCCCATTCTTGCACTACTAAACCAGACCTTGCAAGTTCAGTCAAGTCCAGTTCAAGGTCACCCCCTAGCCGGGCTGGTAAACAATAAAAGCATATTTTCATCTCCTGGACTTAGGCCCTGATCAGAAACGTGAGATGGGAAGGAAGATCCTGGCCCTTTCTCCAACTTTCTAGGCCAAGTAAGAGCAGGGATTCTGTCCTAGTTTGACAAAAGAAAGAGAGTCCTTTTTTTAAGAAAACAAAAACCTTCTGCATAACTTTATTCAGGATTTACAAACGAAGCAATAAATGGAAAAGAGAGGATTAGGGAGAGAGAAATGAGCAAGCAAAAACTTCCAACAAAATGGAGCGTGAAATGACACGGTTCCCCCTGTTCTTCAACTTCAGCTTGGAAGCTCCGCAAAGCATAAGGAGAGCAAAATCTTTGGGAAGTTGGCTGTGAAATGATTGTCTCTAACACAAAAGGCTGTTGGTGTCCACAGGATTTCCACATGAAATGCCACAACACCCCCCCCCCCCCCTAGCCCCCCCCAGATGAAACATAACCCCCAAATGTCAAAATCCAAGAATGAAAACTTCTCCTCCTCCTTCTGTCTCCAAGCAACAAGATGCAAAGAAGGGTTGTTTTTTTTTAAAGAACCGGCCGGCCCGTTGTTTCCATCAAGGCAACTCTGCTCTTTTCCTCCCCTATATCTCGACTCTTGTCACTGCTGTTTTGCGGATGGGGCCCCCGCCTGAAAGGCCCCACCCTGGTTACGTTCCCCACCTTTGGGGAAGAGAAGCATCCATGTTCAGATGAGGTTGGGTGAAGTGCCTTGCAGGCTCATGCTCTTCCGGGGATTTCCCTTTCTACACGTGTGTTGGGTTTGTCTTTGGGAGGAACGGGAAGGGAAGCAGACCCACGGGATGGGGAGTGGGAGAGGTATCAACTGGGGCCTTGCCTTGTCACCCCTGAGCTGCCCGCGGCCTCCATAGACTTTTCACGGTCTGGGTCGATCCGCTGCAAACGTCCCGCGGGCGCCCAGAAGCCCGAGGCGGTGGGGCAGTCCCTGGACAACGGCTGACGAGACTTAAGAGAAAGATCCGTGGGCTGCATATCGGGATCAAAGGGGCTGTACCTCTCTGGCTGGTCCCGTGGCGGGGACTCCCACGAAGCCTGTCTGAAGGGCGTCGGGATGAAAGGGCTTGGCACCCTGGCACGGATGACGCTGAGGTGGTAAGGCGAGACCCTCCTGGGGGCGGCCACAATGAGGTTCCTGGCCTCGGCCGGCCTTTCCTCCCTCGGCTGCTCCGGAGCTGGTCTCTTGAGCTCCAATCCCAGGGGAGGGGCCTCTGCTTGGGAAGTCTCTTTTGTCAAGTTCTGGGGGGAAGATTTCGGAGCAGCAGGGGGGACTTTGCTCCCCGCAGGCACCACCATGGGGTCCGAATCCTCCTTGCTTTTAGACAGCTCTTTTCTGAGGATGCTGTTCTCCAGCACGGGAGGCTCGTCCGGCTTCTTCCGCGGCCGGCCACGCCTCCTCTTCGTGATCACCTCTCCGAGTCGGTCTGCCGGCCGCTTCGTGGGGCTCTTGACTTTCAGTGGCTCACACGGGCTCTGCCCAGCTTCAACGCTGGATGCTCCACCAGCCCCACTGGAGATACTTTTGGGCTTCGGCTGGTTCTCGGCTGCAGGTGGGACTGCCACGTTGATAACCGGCACCATGTTGATGACTGGCACAGCGGACGGCTGGCTGACCAGGTTGGTGGGTCCGTTCACGGCCGAGGCTAGCAAAGTGGAGGAGGGTGCCCCCACCGAGAGCGCCATCTTGACCGTTACCCCCACCGGGGTGGGGGTAAGCTTAGGAGCCAGGACGGGGTGGGGAGAGGGGAGAGCCGGCGTCCCAGGAGACACCACTAAGTGGTCTCTGGGTTGGACTTGCACACGGGGAAGCAGCAAAGGGAGACGGGCTACCAAGGCATTGACCTGCGGGCTGCTGGCCTTCTTGGGAGGAACGTCTGCCGGCTTCTTGGCTTCGCTCCGTGGGGAGGGGGCCGAGGGCTTGGGCACATTGTCTGGTTTAGCCTGAAATGCAAAGATCAAAGAGGAAGAATGAAAGAGGCCCCTGGCCCACGCAGCTCCCCTCTGAGGCTAGTCTGAGGGCCACAATAGCTGCTTGGACACCCCTGTTGAGAAATAACAAACCTGGGAAATGCGGTGTTTGTTTATGGGCCAGATAGATGGGTTTTTTAGAGGTCCCTGGTTTCATCCTTTAACCCTGAGTGGGTCTGGGGTCTACACCGCACACTGTTTGTCGGGGCTGATTTATACAAAATTCTTCTGTCTGGTCCACTTTGCCTGTCTCCCAACCTTGCGTTTCTCCTGGGTAGAATTACCCCCTCCCCTCACACACAGACAAGGACACACTAAAGTCTGGTACCTGAGGTGGTGCTTTGGCTACGTTTTCTGCGGCTTCCGGCTCACTTTTCTTTGGGGGAGGATGCTTGCCCCACGAGCTCTCGGCGTGTTCTGCAGCCAGAGACATTGTACCAAAGGAATGTCAGCAACTCGGGTTTGGGGGAATATTGTCTGTGCCACGATGGGGGGAAGGGGACAGCCTCAGCCCCAAAGAGGACCCCAGACTGAAGCCACAAATCTCTCTGAGTTTGGCCTTGCTTGGGGAGGCTTCTTCCAACACCCCCTCCCCAAAAGATGGGACTAAGGACCAGGACACCAGCAAAAGGCAGTCCTCCCTCCCACTATTCTGCAAAGAGTCAGGCTCACAGCTGGCTGAAATGCGCAGCCGGGCCCCTGTCCAATCTCGAGGTCCCACCTGTGACCACGGTGGCCATGACCAGGTCGGCGTGGTCTGATCGGGAGCTGATGAGGTGCTGCTGCAGGAGGAACTGGGCCACCTCCACGATGCTGTCAAAGGAGCGTTTGAGGATCTTCTGGGCCCAGTTACAGGTCAGGGCGCAGGCCGCCTCGACCACCTTGTCGTTGTAGGAGTGGGTGGTCTCTGTTCGCTCCAGCTGCAGGGACACAGAGTCGGCCTCAACCGTGGATCGGCTGCCACCCGCTCCCCGCTCCCCCCCCCGAGTCTTCTCAGAAGTGAACTTTGTGAGCAGCTGGCCGGTGGAGGCGCATGTGCGCACAGCTCAACTCACATGAATGGCAGGCCTGTACGCCTGTACGCCCCAGCCCACCCCTTGCACGGGCCAGTTTCCCACTCCCCCCTGCCAGGCCACCAAGCCATAGAAGTTGGGGACCGCTGCCCTAAACCATCTGACCATGGTTGGAAACCACTCTATTCAGACTGTTATTATAGCCGGGAAAAGGATCCACTTGGAAGGGCCTCCTTGGGAGATAAATGGATCCTCCAGCTGCAGGGAGAGCCCATCTCTTCAGGGATGAGGTCTGGCTGCCTTGTCCGTATCGGTTTAATCTCCGTTCTCAAGAGAGCAACAGGTGATTCGTGAGCGAGTCCACACAGCTTACGGTCTCGGTTTCTTTTAGGTCCAGGCTGGGCAGGGGAGGCATGTTCACCACGGTTTTACGTCGGATCCCACTATAGCAATATGTTGGAGGAGAATTAAGGACCAACGAGGCGGGGCAGCCCTGAATGTTTGGTTCCGAAGGGCCGGGTTGAAAACCAGGGAGGTCAAAAATTCTTGGGGAACCCCTCCAAGGTCAAAAAACCACCACTCCGGTCCCTCCAGCATCACAGGTAAAAGGATATTTGGATTGCCCGCGTCCACCCAATCGTCTTGCTTTGATATTCGGAAAGATCTCCCTGATGATCTTGCCAAAATTTGCCGCACTCAGGGAACGGCTGCACAGGTTGTCACAGTAGCGCCTGCCGAGAGAGATGAACGGCAGCCGTGTTTTCTCCTGGGGCACCAACCGCCGGCATGGCCTAGCAGCCCAGGACTCTTAACCCTCCAACCCATCTGTGGGGACACCCGAGGGGAGAAAGGCCACAGATTGTCCCCCGCTACTCACTTGTAAGCATCGTACACGTCTTGTTTGGGCAAGCAGGTGTCAAGATACTCCTCCAGGTGGTTCCGTATCCAGGTACAAGCATGCATCTGCTCTGCTGAATTGAGAGAAGTAAGGTCCAAGCTGGGGAAAGAAAGCAGTTGGATCAGAAAGAGAATCAGCGCCTCTCCTTCCATCTGTTCTTCCCAGCTTTCTCTCTCTATCCATCCATCCACCCATCATCTCTCTAATCTGCATCGTTCTCCCTCTCAGTCTCTCTCCCCCACAGAGCGACTCCTATGTCTTCACTCCTTCACACATGCTCAGGAACCACAAAGCCCACAAACCTTAATCTGTAGCATAACCAGAACCTTAAGCGTATTCACCTTTTTTCTCCTGAGCTTGGTCCCGAAGGCAGTTGAAGATACAGATAAAGTTTGGCGTAGTCTGAAAACTTCTGGACATCCTGCTGTTATGGCAAACGCAGGGAGGAAGTGAGAGGGGGAGAACTGAGGACCGTTAGGTAGTGAAACCCAGAGATTGGATCTGCACGGTTTGGAGGTTTTACCTGCCGTTGCAAGAAACCACCCGAAGGGAATCCAGGGGAGATATCAGATACTTACCAAGATCGAGTCGACTTTGCTCTGGACAGACTTTCTGTTGGAAAAACAAGAAAAACGTATTATGGCAAAAACGTGCTTTAAAGGGAGCTCAGTACCGATTGCGTGGAGCAGTATGGAATGGTTTGGGATGGAGTGAAGGTCCCAGTCTACTCCTGGTGGCCTCCCATCCCTGGACTGATCAGGCCTGCCTGCCCATAATTCAGAACTCACTTGGACATGCAGTTTATCCAGCGATCAACCAAGGGGGCCTTTTGCGATCTGAACGACTCCCCTATATTTAATCCTACAAGGTTGCTCCTGGTCTCTAAAACTACCCCCTGCGTTCATCATCATCATCATCATCTTTTAATGACCCCATAATCCCTTGCGGGGTGGAGTCTGGGCAGCGGCATGGAGCTAGCAGAGTGTTTCCTGGCCGGATGCTCTTCCTGTCGCTAATGAGGTTTTCTTCAGCAGACAGATTCTCATTGTGCCCAGAGAGAGGCCTCAACTCCACCTCTAGGCCACCGCACCCCTCCTAAAAATACCCCCTGCAACGGCACCTCTAATCTCTGCCAACCTCTCCGTTCCTCCTTTCCTTCAAAGCCTTCTAAACCCATGGCCGTTTCTGGTGGCAGGGCGTCCCACAGATCAAGCAGAACATTTTGTGGACAAGCCCCGGCTACATCGGCCCTGAATTTAACTGCCCCCTTTTAAAATATCCCTGCACTGTACCGCCTGTGCCCTCCTCCTCTTCCTTAACTGGACCCGGTTCTCTTGAATTTCCGAGACGAAAAGGAAAACCCGAAAATCACAGCGTGCGTGAGAAATGAAAGACCTCTCCCTTACGAGATGGTGCTCTTCAGCTTTTGCAGAAGGGTGCTGGGCTCCACACTGCAGTCGCCCTGCACGTCGGCCTCCAAAATTTCGCTCCCGTTTTCCACAATCTTTGCCAAGAGGCTGCTGTCGTCCGCCATGGCATCGGTGCCCTTGAACAGGAAGGAGAAAAGAATCCCCACCTCCTTAGGATCCCAAACAGCCAGCTGTCTTTGGGGCAGGCGTTTTATTTTTATTTCATTTTATATAAACTTCCGGCTTTTAAGCCCTGCATATATTGATATATATATAACTACATAGCCAAAAAGGCATTAAGAGTTGTTAACCTAATCCTACGTAGCTTTTTCTCTGGTAATATCACACTACTAACCAGAGCATACAAAACATTTGCTAGACCAATACTCGAATACAGTTCATCAGTCTGGAACCCTCATTACGTATCTGATATTAGCACAATTGAGAAAGTCCAGAAATATTTCACAAGGAGAGTTCTCCACTCCTCTACTCGTTGCAGAAGACCTTATGCCACCAGACTTGAAATTCTAGAACTAGAAAACCTAGAATTACGCCGTCTTCGTTCTGATGGTATATAAAATCATACATTGCAATGTCCTACCTGTCAATGACTACTTCAGCTTCAACCATAACAACACAAGAGCAAACAATAGATACAAACTCAAGGTTAACCATACCAAACTTGATTGCAGGAAATACGACTTCAGTAACAACAGAGGGGTCAATGTCTGGAATCCTCTACCCGACTCTGTGGTTTCTTCCCCAAACCCCCAAAACTTTAACCTTAGACCTCACTCCTTTCCCAAGAGGTCTGTAGGGGACGTGCATAAGCGCACCAAAGTGCCTACCGTCCCTGTCCTATTGTTTCTTTTTTTCTTATTTGTATCCATTCATAACTATGTATATACTTATACCTATTATCTTGTAAGCAATTGACAAATCAAATAAATAAATAAAAATAAATACTATGTTTCAGTTTCCAAACAGTCCCCATTGGCTGACCTGTTACCATGTTTATTCCAGCTCATAATTACTTACATACTGACACAAAGTCCCCCCCCCCCCC